TCTGAGTTTGGAACTACCCAAGGCTTTAGTAGTTTTGAGATCACAGATGTAACATAAGGGAAAATAAAGACACAGTTTTTTTATTGATCAGAAAATGGATGTTTCTGAAGTCAGAGAATGCCATAACAAAACATGTTAGAAAGTGCTGTTTCAGAAAAGGAAGATCCAATCTCATGGTTTTGTGAGTGTCTGTTTTTCTGGAGGCTTTGTGCTTTCAGTTACACTGGGAAGGGAAACTGTGAAAATACTTGCAAAGCTGCTTCATTTTTCTCCCAAAGTGTATCAAAATTGTAGTTACATTTTTTTCTTGATTCATTAAGTTTAATATGATTTTAAATGAAGTAATTAATTAGATACTGCAGAAGAAGGTAAAGTGGTTTACCAGACTTGTTTGAAAGAAAAAATCAATATTACTATTGGTTGTTAGCATGCTCAAGGATGGGGGTGGAAGACTTATAAACTCTAAATTAAATAAGGTTCCTGTGGCAAAATAAAATTGTTTTTTAATTCTGATCAGCAGTATGTAAAAGAGAAATGGGGGAGATGATTGGTAAGTGAGGGAACAGAACTGAAATAAGTAATCTGATTGCTTTGACACATGTTATTATTCACTGTACTCATGAAGAAAAAGAAGAGTATTTGAACAGAAACAGATACATGTTCTTGTTACTGAAGGCAGCTCTGTATGTTGAAATTATTTTAAATCATGTGAGCAAGAAAACAAAGACAAGACAACTTTGCTGGCAATATATTGATACTGCAACTTTCAGTGGAAGTGCTGGAATCTACAGATCTGTCACAGTATTAGGCTGGAATTATTAAGACTTAGAAGGTGAAAATAGGAAAAAAACACCTTTTTTTCTATTCTATTTTTCTAAAAAAAATGGAAAGGAAACACTTTCAGTTTATAAAACTGAAAGTCAAATCTAAAGGAAAGCAGTAATAACTTCAGATTGGGAGTAATTTTGTCCCTTTTTATTCCTAGATGAAAATCTCAGAATGTTCTATTAAAGTAGCTTCTAAGTAATCTATAATGTAAGTATCTCAGTGGTATTGTAGTTCTTCTTCACAACAAACACCATGCTTGAAAAGAAAACAAACAAGTTTTGGGCTACATTAAAATCATCTGAAAGACAGGTAATTATCACCTGAATATGAAAAGGGGATCACGAGATAAGTGCAATATACATGTGTGAACCTACAATGTTTAGCATTTGTTGTAACTATTCCATTTATAAAATTATTTTTCTAAAGTTTATTCTGATTATAAAAATTTATTATTATTATACCACTACTGTTACCCTATTTTCACACCTTTATTTGCAAAAAAAAAAAAAAAAAGTAAGGTAGTCAGCCCAAAATTCTATGCTGGTTCACTTGTGCAGAAAATATTTTAAATGGTTTTAGATTCCTTCTGTACTACAGGGTTTGTTGGGTTTTTTTGTTGGTTGGTTGATTTTGTTTACATTCTGTTGTTCTTTAAGTGATATTTAATGACTAAAAGTAGAATAATAATCCACAGTATAGTCCATGTAAAGCATTAGAAAAAGTTTTATTATTGCTAAAGAGCAATGCATGAGAAAAAGAGTAAAAACACCAAGGTCACTAACTGAGCTTTATGGGTGTATAGTCCCAGACTCTTGTCAAAATAACCTTTATTGTTCCTATACTTTAAACATATAATATGCCTATACTGGATGACCAGTATCCCTTTTATAAACCCCAGTATTCAAAAATCTGAGACCCAGCAAAATGAGAGAGAGAAAGGAAATAAGCAGAGCAAAGTGTGTTACTTGCCCTGCATATGTGCTTGTGCAGATATGGGGGATGGGGGAAATAATGAAATTGTGATAATGTGTTGTTTCCTCCCTACCAACATTGTCTGTGTATTAATCTTAAGAAATGTCATTAGTTGATGTTGGTTTCTGGTTCTTATTTATAAAAATAACTTGGACACTGCCTGTCTTTTCAGAAGAAGTTAATTACTTAGGTGTATTTTAGTAACAAGCTTGAAATAACTAACTTAGAAAAAATATTGATTTATTTAAGGAAAACCTTCCATCCTGGCATACTTATGTGTACAAGCATATATGGTTTTACAGTATTTAACTCAGTCCTGCAGCAGCATCTTAATTCATTCTTCATCAGATGTTCACATACTTTTCCTGATAAAGATATAAAAAGTGTCTCCTTTTTATCTCCTACATAATGTGGTATTTTTAAGCTTTTTAAAACAGAAAACTGAAAGTTTGTTTTTAGAGTCATATGCATATTATTTTTTATTGCCTTAAATCAGTATAGGATCTGAATTTCTCTCTATCTCATCTCCCTGAAATTGTTTCTTTAAGTGCTGCAAACTAAGGGCTATCTATCACTGTATGGCAAGCCTGAGAGAAGTACAGGAATAAGCTAGGAATGTGACGTGTGTAAAGTGTGAGTACAGGAATAAAATAGGAGTGTGATGTTGCTGTCAGACTCCTGGAAGGTCTTTTCATGCTAATTTGGAAAGAAAATACAATTTTTTTCAGAAATAATTAGAATGTATCCTCTGTAGACCTGTGGGCATGTTTGAAAGCAATAGTGCTGCTGCACGTGGAACAATATGATAAGATAGTACAATTGCCCAAGTTCAGAGAGGGTTTTTGAGTGTCTGGTTACAGTGTGATTTTGGCAACATTATTGGTATGGAACAAAGGACTGGAGTATCAGAACACTGAAGAAAAGATTGGAGAAAGAAAAGTTTTTGTATTGGTCAAAGGATACTTTAAAGGGATGTTGGACTAAGCTGAGGGAACATAATTAGGGATATGAAGCTGTATTAAGGGAAGAAATTCTGGGTAGGTAGTTAAATAGGTATTTTAGGGACTGAAATAGTCTGCTGGAGGTGATAAAAGAAAAGGAGCTTTTGGACTCCTTATTTTCCACTGTAACATGTAGACATGGAGAGGCCTGCTTTGTCTTCTGCTCTGTACTGCATAGAGGTGAGCTGGGAACCATGCTGCTTCTTTATTTCAAAAACTTATTATTCATACCATGTGACTCATGCCAGCTGTAGGAATGGAAGGGATTACCATTGGAGCAGCATGAATTCCCTTGTCCTGTGCCTGTGTTTTGAAATACTTCGTATTTTTGGGATTTAAAGATCTGAGTTAAAGTGCACTTTTTGTTGTAGAAAGGTAGAAGTGATAACTAGGCAACCTTAACACTGTGCTTATGACAGTTTTATCTCTGTATATTCAGATTCTGTATAAAACAATCAAATGCTTTAGATTTAGCTCAGCTAAGCATATGGGGTATCCTGGGAATTTTGGGGCATTTCTTTATCTGCATCTTGCGAAGTTTCATTTCACGTTTTTCTCTATTAGGAATTTCCAGCATTTTCCCAGTCAGGAGACTTTTGGTTTTGTACAAAAAAAAAAAAATAAAACTTTTGTGCAAAGGTAGGAAAGAAACCATAATTTTCTATAATAACAAAAAATTGAAGACTGTGTCAGTGTGTTCTGTAAGGGAAGCCATGTTCACTTTTCGTCTAGCTCAATGTGTAACCAGCATCTTGGTGGGAGTTTGAACGTGAAAGATTGGTGGTTTTCTGTCATATCGTTTTACTGAGTGTTATTAAAGTAATTGCAGTCAAAATGAATACAAGAGAAATAGTCTTCAGTAACAATGAGCAAGACTTGGACTTTTTCTGGATTTTGTAGGGTTTTCTTCATAGAAAGATTAGTACTGAGGTTTCCATAATCCAAATTCAAGTGCTATTGTCTTCTTCTTGCATGATGCTACATTAAATTAGGTTTTTTCAAGCAATCTTTTTAGTAATCATTTTTGTATCACTTTTTAATTTATTATCACATTCTCCAGATAATTTTATTTCTCCAAATAATCACATTTCTTCAAATAATTAATGAAGTTATTCACATAACTCCAAATAAAGTACTTTGACTGTCTGTAGCTGTACTACCAGAAAAGAAGTCATTGTAAGTTGCTTAATGTTTCACTGAAAATAAAAACTATGCAAGGAAAGAAAATACATAGTTCATGTTGCACAATCAAAAATTACTAAATTGTCTTATGGTTTCCAGAAGTTAAAATATCTTTCCAGCTTAGCTGGAAAACTACTTTCACATAAACAATGGCTAAATAAGACACTGGTACAGACTACAAGGAAAGAGTTCTTGCAGTTGTCTCCTCTTTACACATTTTCCAACATGTTTTGCTTTCCCAGCTATGAGATAACTAAACACCAATTTTGACATAATAGAACTTTGAACTGATTTGTGACTCATCCCTGCATTAAAGACAAAGTGTGTTTTCCTCATCTCCCTGCCCACCTTCCATAGGATACAGCTGAGAAATTCTATTTAACATCATCTGAAATCACTGAAAGCTGTGATAAATTCAGTAGGAGCTGGATCCAGCTGATTTTGCCTTTGAACTATGCTCTGAAAAGAAGAAGTTTTTTTTTTCCTTTGCCTTTGCATTAAATGAGATATCACCTATTAATTTTTTACAATCAAAGCAATGACAGTATTAGCATCAAAAGAAATCGACAAATAATAAGTGATTCTTCTTCAAACTGACATCCTTTACACCTAATCTTCTGTAAGGCAATACTGCCTGTACATGCTAGAATAGTAGACAAGTCTTTGCAAGATTGTAGCCTGATCTCACAGTTTTGTTATCTGTATTCTAAAATATTATTTATGATATATTGTGCAAAAATTAAGCCTAATCTGAATTGTTTACACATTCCATTGATGTTGCACAGATTAGTGTTTGTTATTTATTAAGGATATTTTTCTTAAAATTGTTAATATATATGTTAATTATTTCCTGTAATGTTTCATATCCTTAATCTGCATACACTGCTCTTCATACCTACAGTTTCATTAACAAAGTGGGGAGAGAATGTGTTTCTACCTGCATACAGCTTTTTAATCAGTAGCTCCTCTCTCCTTTAACTTGTCTAATATGGCTTATTTATTAATAATCCTTTACAGAAAAAACAGAGAACGAAGGATCTGTCCCAGCTGTTTCATTCATACAGTCCATATGATCATAAGGTAAGAAAAAATATATTGTGTTCATTTTTAAGAAAAATTCCAAACATTGTGGTAAACTCATGTTTAATGCAAAATTGAAGAGAAATGATAAAATTGAAAGCACTGAGTATGTTACTTAAATTCTGCTGTCACAGAAATGTTTCTTTAAGCCAAGATTGCAAAGGTGCATTTTCTGATTTGTGAAACCAATGACTCACATTAACCTCATAGAAGTATAATTTATAGACTGGCACTAAATCCTGCAAAGTGACCACATGTGGTATTGGATTCCCCTCTTTTTTCCCTCTGTATTTAGGAACTGTGTTACCCTGGAGCACGTTGCTTAGCCTGTTGTATTGATTAGGTGCTGAGATACATGATACTAATGAATTGTCGATTGATCACAAAAGCATCATTCGAAGAGGCTGCTGTGTGAGCAGCCTGGTGGTTGTCTGGGGGAAGACATAGAAACACACATCATTATAACTTGTTTGTAACATCTGGGGAAAAAAAAAAAAAGGTCCTTTCTATTTTCAATGTGAAATAAAAAAAAATAAAGTTGTAAAGTTGTTACAAGAAAATTTTAGAGAACCAAGAGACAGCAATCACAGTATTTCTGTGCTATAGCTATGTCCCGGGGTTCTTCTAGATGTTACCCAAAAGAGAACATTAAGCAGCAGATTGAAGGAATGTTAAATAGGTTGTCAAATATTTTCATGGAGTTCCTCCTATCTTTGATGCCTCTGTGGGCATTTTCTTTTAACAAATGCACAAAACCCTTAAAAATTTGTCAGCAGTATGAGATATCTGTTTTTGCTGCTTGTGTTTTGAGAAGTGTGAATGATTTTGCAAGTATCCATTAAAACAAAAAATTTAAAACATTTCTGTTGTTGCTGTTTAGACATTGCAAAGGAAAGTTCTGAACTCTATACCTTTTTTTCCTAGCCATGTACCAAATACATTGGAAAAAACAGCTAGATTTATGTTTGGGAGAAGAAGGTGGCAGAAGTATTTATGTGCATCTATCTCTTTGTATGAATACATGCACATATATGCAATATATGTGTAACTACACATATTAAAAATTAATGGATTAACTTTATCAGGCAGGTTGTTGCTGTGAGAGGTCTGTAGTTGCTAGTCACTTGTAAATTTAGTTTAAAAAAAAACATTGTAAAACAGCAGTTATATTCTATAGCATTAATAATTGTACCTAATTTCAGGTTAAATTTATCTCTGCTTAGTACTTCTTTTATAAATAGTCTCACATTGTTTTACAAAGATTGGTAAAGCTGATATTAATGGCCTGTGAAAATGGCCTTAATGGAGAAAAATGAAGAATAAAGAAAACTAGTGTAAGATTTTGGATGGAATCATTGCTCCTTTGAATTGAAGCATTTTTATGTAAATGTAATAGTAAGTCAATCTAATAAGGAGATGCAACTGATGAATGAGAAACTTTGTTATTCCTTTCTATGTCTTAATTCTCCTGTAAAAAGCACCTTTTATTCATAGTACAAGGAAATTCCATTATTCTTTTATTAGCACTTTTAATGGAGCTTGGCCATTTGTAACTCCTGCTGTCTTCCTGCTCATATCCTTTGTGGCATTATATCAAAGTATTCTCAAATAATTTTGGCTGCAGTTGTGAGGACTTCTGCACTCTTTACAAATTAGTCATCATACAGTGTGGAATTGAATGTAAATGCTTAAATATATTTGCTTTTGATCTTTGTTTTAGGACCTTTAATATATTATTAAAAGTAACACAATTGTTTGATGGGTGATTTTTGTACCTTCACTCTTTTGTTGCTTCCAGGCACATTCTGTGTATATATCTGAGAGTACAAGTGCAGGGGAAAGGACAAGTGAAAGTTTGTATTAAAGTTATGGCCTTTCCTTATTTTCCATTTGACAGTAAAAGTTTTCCTTCTCCTAACTACTTCCTTTTGTGGGCTGCAGCAAGCTCGCTGCAGATTTCTTGCTCTGTGCTTTTAATTTCCACCTCAGCTTCCAATTTTACAAGTGTTGCAGTCTAGGGGAGGGCTTTTAATTTTTGTATAAAATCTAACATTATTTGGGAATTCAGTTACTTCTAGTGAAGCTGTATATTAGTTTTCTCTAGTTCTGTTTTGTTTGATTTACATGGCCAAAGGATTTGAGGGTGGGGTAGCACATGATTTTTGCTGTTTTGTAGATTATTTTCAGGAAATATAAAATGGAGATTTCACAATTACTTTGTGAAAGCATTGGTGATGCAGGATCATGACATGAGTGGCTGGAATTAGTAGCTTCCAGAATTATTACTTTGTGGATGAAAATATTTTTCTCTGAGAACCTTTCTAAAATAGATACAAGAAAAATTTAAGAGTAAGTTGGTGCTTAGTAGTAGTAGTTTAAACAGATGTGAAAATCTCATGACTACAGTGGCTGAAATGGGACTTGCTACAAAGATTTGACAGTACTTCCTCTTTTTAGGATGGGATTTCTCATAGCAAGGAGAAAAATCAATCAAAAAATTCAGAAAGTGTTCATTCTTCCGTGCTGGCGTTTTCACTCACTAAACCAGAAAGTGATGTTTTGATGGAGTAGCTATACTAACCTTATTAACCTTGTTACTATTTGTGCATGGTCAGGAGGTCAATAGCTCTTTGAAACAGTAACTGTTCCCCTGAAAATGTTGCCTCAATATATATTTGCCCATCTAGTGTAACTTAGAGCATCCTGAAAGAGAGTTGAATGCTTGTGGTTCTTCTTTCCCAGATGAAAACCCAGTGCTTTTATAGAGGTGGAAACAAGGATTTACTTTCCCTTCCAATTCAAGGTGTTGAGACTTATCTTTTATCCAATGAAGCCTTAATTCAGCAGCAGAGAAGGCAGAGCTTTTAAATTCCTCCTGCAGAAGGGATGGAAAAGCAGGAGATACTCAGCTGATATTAGGGGAGAATTAGCTGAGCTCCTATATTCTTTGATTCTTAAACAAGTATAAATTACTATCTGGTTGCCCTTCTGCCCTTCTCATTGTTCAGATGAAACCATTCAACATCAAATCTCAAAAATTTCCCATTGGTTATATACTTCTCCCATCAAGGCAGATTTGATGTTGCTCTCTTTAACCCAGTTTTACTATAGTGCTTCACAGAGCCTCTGACTACAGAACCTGTGGATCTTTCATGTACTATGCCACAGACAAAGCTCATTTTAACATCAATCTGGAATGCCTGGAAAATATATTGAATTCTTGATGTCAGACACATACAAAGAACTCCCTTTTCTCCTTTTTTTCTTCTGTTGTTCTTAAAATAAGTATCTTCTAAAATTCATTCTTTCCAGAACTAGATTATTACTTAGGGAATATCTTGAGCAATATCTTGTTCCAGTTGTGTGATTGCCATTTGTTCAAACTTATTTCAGTTAGCATGTGTAAAAATACATGGCACTCTCTTTGCAGATGAAGCCATTCCTTGTTCTGAAATACTTGCTTTTTCATGTTCATGTAGAGTAAAAATAGGTATGGTCTGGCTTTCTTGAGAGTCAAGTTCTGATTGCTGTGTAACTTTTCTCTAGTTAGCCATAGAATAGCACTTCCAGTTTTATATACAGTTAATCTTTTTCTAGGACTATCAGAAAAAGATGATAAAATGGACATCCTCATAAAGCTGTACCAATAGCAGCTTTAGTGTTTTTTAAAATGTCAAAGAAGATCATTGAGGAGTTATACTCTGGCCAGTTATCTGCAAGCGCATTTAATAAAAGATTATGTTTGCACACAAGTAATTTCTGCTGAATGTTTTTTGTGTGTACACTGTGAGGTTTCACTTTTCACACAGTAAGAATTTTATTCTGTCTGAAGTAGCTCAGAAATAATGGAATTGTAGCTCTCTCTGAATGACCCTCGCTCTTTAAAATTTGCAACCCAGTTTTTTTTAAAGCTGGTAAAGTAGTTGTTATAATAGTTCACCTGGTCAAAACAAAAGGTTTTATAAGCTTAATAGAATGTTTCAGGATCCAGTATGCACCTAATGGCCAAATTCAGAAGTGCAGAGCCCTAGTTCCTTTTCTTTTTGTCAGATGAGTTTAAGTATTCAGTTTAGCCCTGGAGTAGTTGATTGAAACTATAATCCTCAATTTTTGCTCTGAAGAAGAAGGTTTTTATATATTGTAAGCACAGTATATCAGAACTACTACACATTTTGCTGATTTGCTTTCTTGAGAGGATACCCAGGGATACCTTAGGCCATGTCCATACATGCCTCATGCAGCACAGGGCTGTTACAGTGAGAAATCCTCAGAGAGCTGTGCTTAAAACTCAGCTCCCTATTCACTTCTGCCTTTTGCAGCCCGAATCTCTTGCTGTACAATAGGGCATGATCTATGAAAAAATAAGGTCATGTCTTATAGCTTTAGAGATTTATTTTTGCATATACTGTGTCCAGCCCAATAAGAAATATAGACAAGCCTCATGTGATTTCAAGAGTTTTTTGAGAGATTTACTCCCAAATGGAAGGTGTGCTCAGGATTAAAAAAAATTACTTGCTATTTCAAAATGTGCTGTAATTGATGCAATTCTGCTAAAATAATTGTAAAATCTTTATGCCTCATGCTTCTAATGTTCTTTATTAATGTGTTCTGGAAATGTTAAAACACTGATATGCTGCTTTCTATCATTATTCTCCCATGTACAGGGACTCCTTCACAAGCCAATTTGAACGAAAGAAATTCTGATGTCTATTAAAAGAAAATAGACATCACACTCTAACTAAAACACTTGCTATTTACTAACTTTCTAATGGCAGACATCACCACACTACTCTTGTGAATTAGGTCCTAAAACTATTTTTTTGAGGATGTGTCTGCACTGTGGGACAATGTGTTTCATAAGAGGACATGCAAATTGACATGTTGGATACTTGTAGAGTTGGAAGTGTTGCTATGAGAGTAGCTGGTGAAGGGCTAAAATGCAGCTGGAACACTAAACATGTGGCAGGTGAGATTAACATCCTTCTGTGCTCATAGTTCCA